AAGAGGCAGGTAACTCCTACCCACTGCAGTTCACTGGGGCTATTCAGGTTTTGTTCTCTTCTAAAGTTCTACCAGGTTGCATCTCTGTGGGTGATGAGGTTGCTGTCTCTCACATCTAGCAGTCAGTTGCTGGATGGCAGCAAAAATTGAACTTTTAGAGTTTAATTATCCAGAAGCCCTTCCATCCGCTGCAGTTGTTCTTTTGACTTTTCCTTTTAATTTCATCTCCTAACTTCCAAAAGAGAAGCGAGATGAGGTAGGGGAAAAAAAAAAAAAAAAGGTTGTAAGTGGACAGAATTGCTTGTGAAAAATATATTTTTTAAGCTAAGATCTTCCTACATTCTCATTTACTATGTGATTTTGGGGATCTGTTCTGTTATATCCTGCGTGCATATCTCTTCTCTTTGTATTTCCTCATTTTTCCCCTACTTAGACATCCTTGAACATGTGATACTTGTGACCTCAGGCTGGAAGTATAGCTAATTTTTTAAAAATCAGATTAGCTCTTTGTTACACAGGAAAAAAAAAATGAGAAGGAAGAAAGTGCTGGGGAAACGTACTGCTTTAGTGCTTGCATGGTCAAAAATAAAACGTGGGGAGGAGGGGCAGGATCTTTGCCATGTTGACTTCCAAAAGCAAATAAAATCAATTTGGGGAGAGCTGGTTTCAGGCTAGAGCATGGTTTACTTTATGGAACACGATGCTGCTTTGCTCGAGAAGCTACTTGAGATGGGGCAGCTGGCTTGTCTGCTGCGCTGGCTGAGAGAAATCCAGCGAAGAACAAAGCACCACAAATTTGAGAGCAGATGTGCTTTGAAGTGTTGATTTATATGCTTTTTAATGGTACCTACTAGCATGTCCCTTGTCGGTAGCTCCTGATCTTATGTTCATTTTTAGAAGGAAGTTATAGTAAAAAATATATGCCTTAAAAAGGGAAACCTTGAACGTCTACATTTATTTGTTGTTCAGATTTAACCTGCCAGTTCAGTATTTTTTATGTTAATAAAGCAGATCACCATTTCTGTTCTCTAATTTAAACTGATTTTAACCTGTATCAGACTAAAAAAAAACAAGTGACAGTTTTATCTGCAATAGGGCCCATGACAGTTCTGCCGTGAGTTTGTTGGTTCTGTAAAATTCTCTAATAAAGATGTTGCCTAAAATCATGAAAACATCTGGGATGTAACCAGTGCAAATGTAGAAAAGCTGGAAGAAGTCCTGTTTGTGCTGAAAGCAGCAGGTTTGTCAGTGTCATTCGGAAGGAATGATCATTAGCAATGATCCAGAGCCAGGATTTCGTGGCTTTCAGATTTTTCCCTGAGTTTGTAGTGATGATAGTGATGACAGGCAACGAATCTCTGACACACAAGCCCATCCAGTTAGGCTGCTAAACAGAAAGGTACCTGTGGACACAGAGTGATTCTAGTGACTTTGTTACAAAAACATGTGATTTTGGTACTTAACCTCTTTATTTTAAATTATTGCTCCTGTTTTTTGCTTGCCACAGATCTGAAAGTCTGTGGGATACAATGGAGCAGAACAACTGTCACCCTTTTTTTTACAGGTTCATCTTGCAGATGCAGTCTTTGAAGGGGAAGAATAAGCCAACAGCCTGAGCACTTCGGTGTTATTTGAAAAGTTGGTAAGCTTTTGTTGTTCTGTTTCCTTCAGGTTTTGAATGAAGAATGTGATCAGAATTGGTACAAGGCAGAACTCAATGGAAAAGACGGCTTCATTCCCAAGAACTACATAGAAATGAAACCACATCCGTAAGTTGAGCTTTGGGCAGTAGCTCCTGTGCTTTTGTCTTGCTGTAAGAGAGGAGGGAGGTTGCTGCAAAGCGCTTTGCAGGGTGGACCTTATTGCATCTATCAAGATGTGCAGCCAGAGGTTTTATCATGGATTATTTTAAAAAAAGACAATTTAAATTTTTTAGTTATAGGCTCCCCTTAGGGGAATATTAAGTGTTCCTGATTAGCCATTTCACTGTTTGGTAAACCCAAGTGTTAGGACTTGACTGTCTTCTGGTGATGATTCTCTCTTATGCTTAGTGTTGCAGATAAGACCAAGCATTTATTGGCATTCATAGCTCACCAGAAAAATGTTCAGTGGTATTTGCAACTGGTTTCTTGGTATGTCTCTATCACATTCTGTGGTTCTGTACTTAGGATAATTTAGCTTGGATGAGACCTCTCTCCAACACCATCTGATTCCAGACTTCACAGGGTGTGCGCTGCTGTGCAGCCACATTGCTTTGCAGCTCCACATTAGTCTATTTGAGTGACGCTTCGAATGTTTCCTGCTAAATACCAAGAAACAAACATATGAAAATAGTAGTGTTTCATGGTTCTTTATCACCATCAGTCCAGGTATTTTTGCACGTAAAACTTCTGAAATTGTTTAAATAAAGCCTTGCCTGCTGCAATAACAAGACTAGTTTTCCCGGATCCTGCTAGTCCACTGGGGATCACAACAGCACACGCCAATCTCCGTCTCTCATTAATTTAAATCCTTATACATCTTATAATAACCATTTCAGAAGTATTTGAGTTCTACTGTAATGATACTCTGTTTATTCTGTAATCATATTGGTTTTAGAGAGATAGAGCTGTCAATTTTTTTATTTATTGATGCCCAAGAGGGAATGAACAATGTCAGAGCCTGAAAGCAGGCAAGTTTGCGGGTGGGTTTTTAAGCATGGTTGATCTGGCCTTTTTTGAAGATGTTTAAACTGCTGATGGCAGCTCCATGGTGAGAGTTAACTCCATGTGTCAGCATTGCTGGGAGTCTTAACTAGTGCATTAACAACCCTGGGAAATTATGCAGAAGTTTTTATAGCGTAATGTTTGCTTAGCTGCAATGCAGAGTGCTCCGAGTAGTCCAGCGGGTCATACAGAAAGCAAACTGCAGGCAGCTGGCCAGGGGCAAGAAGGGGAATGCCCTTTTTCTCAGACCAGCGTCAAACTGTGTTGTAGGAAGGTGGCACAAGAACTTTCCAAGAAAGTTTGGAGAGAAATGAGCTAAAAAGTGGCTTTATAGGATAGCCTGCCATTAAATCTGAGATCGTGAAATCATCCAGCCTCACAGCTCGTCTTAAATGTTGTGTTCCTCCTGCTTGAAAGTTGCAAATATTCCAGATGCTTTGTCACTGTTAGCAAATTAAGCAAGCAGAAGACGTGGAGCCCATCAGTCATCAGCTGAGCCATCTGGGCTTCGAAAGAGTTAATCTGGCTGGCATGTTGATTAACTAAACAAAGGTGTGAGTAGATACCTCCATGATCCTCGTGATCCTCGTGCCGTGGTCCCGGGGAAGAGCTGCAGGGAGGCTCCCTGTGGAAGCCCAGCTGGGTTCAGTGCCTGGGCTGCCTCCCCTTTCCGAGGGGCCAGGGGACACGTGGCTGCTCACGGCGTGGGCTGGCTGCATGCAGGGTAGGTGCCTCGCAGCAGTTTTCCTAAGACACTGTTCCTGCAGAAGTGACGCTTTGCAATTCTAACCTGTGTGGAGGAAACAGTGCCAAGCTAAGTGGTTGCACTAAGTGAAGCCAAAAGAATTTCCCAGGTGCTGATTGAAAGGAGCCTGAACGCAGTGTGAGCTGCGTTGTACCAACCAGTGCATCTCCCTCTAGCTGTGCAGCAGGAGCAGTGATATCTGCATTTGTTTTTGCAGTGCTGACTGGATGAATTTGACCTGTGTTACAGAGCTAGTTGGAAGCAAATATTACCAAGCCTGGCCATTCTGCAGGGAAGCTCTGGGAATGAATGATCCCTTCTTTGGCTCTGTTGTCTTGGACACGCTGGGGTTTTGTTACAATCATTTACGGGAAAGGTTTCTATATGCAGAAAGTATCTAATGCTCTGCATGTGTGTTTCTAAGTAGACATTATTCCCTTAAAATAACTTTGCTGCTTTGTCATCTGTGAAAGCCCCAGAAGTGTTGGATTTTCTTTCTTTTCTGTAGCTAAAAAGCCACCTCTTTTTGCTTATTGGGTGGTTGAAGTGGTGGTGAAGTCATAAAATGTACAAGAGAGCTCAAGATCTCTAATCTCTGCCTCCTGTTTAAACTAAAATGCCTTGCAAGCAGCTGCCAGTGTTCTGAGAATTTGATATTGTTACTTTGCAAATGTTACTTCCATTAATTGAATTGTACACGTCTGCTCTTTAATGATCCAGTGAAACTGAGGGGGGAAATATGGCAAGATATCCAAAGTTGTAGTATAAAGCTTGCATTATGTAATACTTGGCAGAGGTAGAGTTCAAGACTTGCTTATCTTTGTAACAACCCTGCCAAAAGTTCAGGGGGAAAATGCTGCTTTGGGTTCTGAAGGAATTGCACGTGCTGGCTGCTCTGGGCTGGTTTTGGAGGAAGAGGAACGCAGGGGGATGCTCCAGCTGTTGGCTCTGCCACCACCTCTGCTCCTGAGAAGTGCTGCAGGTGCAGAAGCACCAAGGAAATGCAAGTTCTTTGTCCCTGGGAATAGGCTGGATGCGGGGGAGAGCCTTCCATTCCGGGAGATGAAAGGAACAAAACCAAGACTCACAGTTAAGTTAAATTTATGTCTAGTTGGGGAGCCCTGCTCACACTCTGCCTGTCTGTGCTTGGGCTCCTGGTACCCACCTTAGCTTTGCAACATGTTATTTCCCTTTGAGCACAGTGCCCTGGTGTGCCAGGCACTGGGTTCGCAGAGCTTGGACTCTGGTGCAGGAACAACCAGCTGCTGCATGAACTTAGTCCTCCTGCCTTCTGAGGGAACAGGGTCCTCCTGCCCTGCTGTAAATTGGGTTTTGACACACAATCCAATTTCCATTCCTGCAGGATGGTAGATTCCTAGGCAGGATCTTGTTTCCGTAACGTTTCTGAAGTGATACCGGTGATGAAACCATGATTTGCTTGAGTTTTACAAACACCCCCTTTTTCTTAAGGTTCCTCCCGTATTTTGAGGTTCTGTTAAAACAGTGATGTTTCTGTCTTTAATCCAGTATAAACCCTGTTATGCATTGTCTGCTCTGCAAATAACATGTAAGTTATTGGTGGCTTCTCTTTAGGAGGCATAAGTATTAAAAAAAAATATATGTAATTACTCCCCACTGATTATCTTTGGGTGCTGATAGTGAAATACATGCTGCTATATCATAGAGAAGTTCCACAGTGACTGGCCAGCAGTCTCCTTTGTACTAAGACTTTGCATCTTCCAGGCTTGAGACTTTATCCCTTAGTGATAAAGGAAGGGCTAGGACTTGAATTTCCTGCTTTAGCTCTGCATTTGTGTGTCTGTTGTCAGGTTGTGGGGCACCCCTCTGCTCTGGTAAATCAGATGTAATGGGGCGCATGTGAGTTCCTGCTCATGAAGTCCAGGTAACCTTATTCCCAACATGAAACAGTATGAAAGGGTGTAGGGCGTTCAGGTGCCTATACTAAAGTGGCAATGACGTGTAGCTTGGTTATTCCTGTTGGGAATCGTTTCATGTCGGTGCAAATATCAGGGTCTTCCACGAGAGGATGAAAATTCTTAACTTGATCTTTTCTTTCCTTCTCTTCCCATGCTCCACAGATGGTTTTTTGGCAAGATTCCCCGAGCAAAGGCTGAAGAGATGCTAGGCAAACAGAGACACGATGGTGCCTTCCTCATCAGGGAGAGCGAGAGCGCTCCCGGGGACTTCTCCCTCTCAGTCAAGTAAGTGATGCCCAGAAGCAGTAATGTGTGGTAATCAGGAAACACACTTCTGATTTGGACTTGTGGGTAAAGGACAGGTGTTGTTAGGCAGGAATGATCTTCTACAAAGTGCCTGGTGTGTGCATGTCTCCTGTCTTTCTCCATTCTTCTTAAGGAAAAATTGCTATTTTGTCTTCTGTGTCTACCTGGTACGCTTCCAGGTCTGTTTTTCTGGACTTCTTGGCCCATGTCTTGGAGATACTCGTCTTGCACTGGGTGCTGGAACTCTGGAACCCGAAGTTTCTTCCATTTCTCACCCGCATGTTCCGGGTTGGTGGAGAATATTGGCCTCGAAGGAGTGAACTGAAGGGCAATGGCCCTCACCCTAGAATAACCTTCCTGGGTGTGCTAGCTCTTAGCCCTCAGGAGTTCCTGTTCATTAGCCCTGGCCTACACAGTACCCTGTTACCTTTCTCAGCCCTTCTGAAGCCGCTATAAAACACAGTAAAGTTGTTACAAGTTTGAAAAGATATGAGACATAATTTAACAGAAATCAAGGGAGGATTCTGCTCTCACCAGTTGTTTTTCCTTTTCTCCTCTTTCTATAATCTTCCCTTTTCCTACAAGAAATGAACAGGACGTTCTTCAGAAGCTGGGCAATAGATCCTGATTATCCATGCAACAGTCCTTATTTGCTGGGTTTTCCATGGCTACCACTAATCCATCTCGACAGGATTTTTTTTTGTTTTTTTTTTGTTCTGTAATCAAATTTTTGGCCTCCACTGATTCATGCCAGCAAACCGAATTAAAACCAGTGACTGGAGAGATGTTTATATTTCTGCCTTGGGTACAGTCATCGGAGCTAGAATATTAGATATGAATGGAGCTTCATTCTAGAAAATATGTTTCTTTGTAAAACCTGAAGTTGTAACACTAAGTTAGTGTTGCCATCTGGTGGGCAAGTTCTCAAATGTTCTTTTTTTTCTTTTAAATGTACTGTGAGAGGAAAAAGCACTTTTCTAAAAGATGATTTGCAGGTTTTGAAATGGAGAGGAACTCTCAGGTTGAGGAAGGGAGAGCAGAGGCAGTACCACAGTTTCGTGTTTGCTTTGTAGCCAATTTGATTTATACATTTTCAGACAAGGCATGGAAAATACACATGCCAAGTACAAATAATTGTCTCCTGTTTTCAGTGTTTTGGACTCCGAAGGAAAAAAATAATCAATGTGCCTCTCACTTGGGAAATCCTGCTGGGCCTCTTGGAGCACCTCTTTGTTCACAATGAAATTGTTGGAAAAATAACTTTAACAAATGCCAACATTTGTCAGAACTGTTAATGCAGAATTGAAGTTGCATCAGTATATGTGCAGCATCACCTTTGGTGCACCTTCTGTTGCACTTTTCATTTATTTTTTTAAAAAGAGCTCTCTTGGTTTTGCAAGATGGACTTTTAGCCAGTAGTTTCACAGTTGGCACAAGTCCACCCTGGCTGCCAAGAAGGCAGGTTTTTCCCAGCAGTTCACCCACAGCAGGCCTGGTGCTTGTGCCTTGCTCTGTCTCACACCCACAGAGTACTCGAAACACTGCTAATGTGCTTTTTTGTTGTTGTTCTTCATTCCTTCCTCCCAGGTTTGGAAACGATGTGCAGCACTTCAAGGTGCTTAGGGATGGGGCTGGCAAGTATTTCCTCTGGGTGGTGAAGTTCAATTCTTTGAACGAGCTGGTAGATTATCACAGATCCACATCTGTCTCCAGGAACCAGCAAATATTTCTCCGGGACATTGAACAGGTTCCACAGGTAAGAGAAACATCCTCACAGAACAGGCGGTGTTAAACCACTCCAACCCAGCAGCTGGAGTAGGGTAGCACCTTAGAGTGAACGAAAAGGGGTTGACAGGAGCCAATTTGAATGTTTTTCCTGTCTGCAAAAGCGTGTCTTTGGATCCAAACCTAAGCTGGGAAATGAGCTGAGTGTTTATAAAAACCTCCTTGCTAACTCCTAGTTTCCCCTTTGGTTCTGGTGAAGTGTTACTGTCGCTTCTTGAACGTTAGGCTGCTTTTGAGATTTGCAAATGCTGCTGCTCAAGTAAAGTTGTCTGCTGACTTCTGTAAATGGAAAAAGGCGGTTGTTCCTATTTTAGGGCACAGTAAGAAAGGATCTTCCTTTGCTTTCTGTACTGGTGCTTCAGTAGCGTGTTGCAGCGAGGCTTTGGTATTATCTTTCCTGGAGAGCTGCAGCTAAGGGAAGAGGTGGTTACAGGTAGTAGCAGGTGGAACCTCTCTAGCTTGTTCTCTTGGATCTAACTTGTATTAACAGAAACCAAAGACTGCTGCTGAGTGTCAGCAGAGCAGCCTGTGCATAACTCGCTCTTTGTTTTGTTCCATTTCCCAGGGCTATTAAATGTTACACTGGGTAACATTGCGCCAAACACCAGAAAAGAGGTGACTACAAACGACAGGCACTCCTTTCTAACCTTGCAATCTGAAGAACACCAATGCTTTTTTAGTGAACCTTTAGCTTTTCCATAAGCATGGAAGCATTTGGTGACCAGACAAAATACTTGATAATATGTGCATGGTGCCAAGCCTTTAAGGAAACTATGTAAAATGCCAACATTCAATTTTTAAGGGAAACTTAGTGTGTCACAGTATTAGGTAGAGAACTAATATTCATGCTGTCAGTTGGTGAAAATGGGGCAAATAAAGAATTTGTGTTGTAGCAGAGTATAGATTTATGGTAAGTCATGAATGCTGGAGCATCCTAGGGAAACACTGGAGACATCATTTGATGCCTTTTTTCAGCTCTTTCACTGAAAAAAAAGCAGGTCTTCTGTGGGCTATGCCTTTTTAGCATCAGATTGCAGATGGTAGAGCCTGGCTTTCAGAGAAATGAAGCAACCCAAATGTTTACTGGCAGACGTGGTGTAAGGCCCGGTCCGAGGGAGCAAATACCCTTTTCAGGTGATTCTCATGATGTTTTTGTTTTCATCTCTTCCAGCAACCAACGTACGTTCAGGCCCTGTTTGATTTTGATCCCCAGGAGGAAGGAGAGCTAGGCTTCCGCCGCGGAGACTTTATCCAAGTCCTTGACAATTCTGACCCCAACTGGTGGAAGGGAGCCTGCCACGGACAGACGGGCATGTTTCCACGCAACTACGTGACCCCGGTGAATCGGAACATCTAGAGATAAATATTAGAGATTATTTAAAGAAACCAGAGAAACAGTAAATACACATACAGAGCCTAACTGCAGCCAGTGACCTAAAATCACACGGCGATAAAACCTGAGTCACCTTTCACCATGAGGTGATCCTCCTTCACTCAGTGCGGAACTTCAGAGGCAGGGGGAGAGTTCAACTTACACACCAAAACTTATCTTTAAAAAGGAGAGAAAAAAAAGAGAGAGAGAGAAAAGAAATGAAAATAACAAATTTCCTCAGCTGCTCCCGGGTTACCCCCTTTCATTCGCTCTTCTTGTTTCCCCCTCCTCCTCTGTCCATCAGTGCATGACGTTTTAATGCCATATAAAGTCCTAGCCATGCAGTTAAAGGAAAAGGGAGAAACTCTGCGGGTATTTTCTCTCTCTGCAAGCAGTCTTCATTTGACATGAAGGGACATGAGAGAAGAACCAAATCCACAGTCCTGCCTTTAAAAACAAAAAACAAAAGTCATCAGTCTTTGCTATTGCCTTCAACATTCAGCTCTTCTGGCCTGGGAAAGATGAGGTGTTGCTCTGATTTTTATTTTCTCTTCTCCTTTGGCACTTTCTTCTGGAGCTCAGCAGCCTCCAAGCAGGGGAAGGGAGAAGAGTTTATGTGGCTTTTGTTTTGTTTTTCTTTTTCTTTTGAGTCACAGAGCTGCTTTGAGAAATTCCAGCCTACAACTGAAGTCTGTTCTTGCTGTGCTGACAGCTTTTTTGTTTTTTTCTTAAAGGTGTACGGTTGAGCACATTCTGTAATTTTTTCCATAGTGCCTTCCCTTATTTTCTTTTTTTATTATTTTTTAAGTTAAAAGGACAGTCCAGAGCTTTTCAGAGGATTTTTTTTCTGCCTGTGTAAATATTTTGGGGGTAAGGGTGTAAAGGAGGGTGATTTTACCAATGGACATTTAAGAAAAAAATCTACAAACAGAGATGGAGCTTTAATTTTAAGATTTGTCTTACTGTTTGACTTTCCTTATTCCAAGGGAAAAAAAATCCAAGGCATTCAGAGGCAGCTTAGGCTGCTCAGAGGGTGAGGAGCTGCAACCAGGAACCTCAAAAGAAGTAAGAGAAGGGAGAAAATTATGACCAGGGAAAATGAGGAAGAATACTTTGGGGAAGGGAGGGAGAAAGGGAGGAACTTGAGAAATATAAGCCCTGAGATGTCCTATAAAAACATACATTCCTTTGATGGAGAAGTCTGTCACACAGAGGAACCTCAAGAAATAGTGCTTGAAAACACTTCATGCTCTTAGCGAATGTTTCCACGTGATGAATATTATCAGCCAGTCCTTTTGGCCTGGGCAGGGAATATTTGCAGTCGTGTTCTCGAAGCGTGGGGTTGGCATCACTGTTCTCCAGTTTCTCCTCCCTCCTCAGGTCCATGCTGTTGAAAAAGCAGCTTTCCCTCCCCTGCTCCCCATTCACAGCAGGCTGTGTGATGACTGGATCCCCGTCCCTCACCATAATGGCAAATATTTGGGCCGTTTGCTCCTCTACCAGAACAGTGTGACGTTCAGTGGGACAGAAAGGAAAGAAATCCAACCACACCGCTCTTTGTGCCAATCTTCAGTTGCATTATTTTTCCTTTTGATGACCGCGTAGCTGGATCCCTTCACCCCACCAACGAATCCAAAAGCTGCAATGGAGATTTCCTCCCGCCCTGCCGAAGCACGGGCGGTCTTTAGTTGGAGGGTGCCTTTTTTTGTACTAAGTGTTACAAATGTTTTATTCCTGAGATGGACTCTGCCTTACACTTTAATTTTCCAGCTGATGAAAGAGAGAGCTATCCTGTAGAGTATTACTTTCTCCCCCTCTCCTTGCTAGCTGTCACTCACTTTCTTCCTTCTTTGTAAAGTGATTGGAAAAGGAATCTATGGCATTCTACACCTGGACCATTTGATTGTTTCCTTATTTTGGAATTGGTGTATATCATGCAGCCTTGCAGACATATGTCTTGTGTGTGTATATATATTAAAAAAATCAGTGTTTAAATAAAAAGGCCTATGTACTTAATCCTTTAACTCTGCAGCAGCATTTGGTAGATAGTAATTAACTGTGAATAATAAATATACATTGAATTCTTCACTCGAGCATCTGTCTGTTATTTCAGTTAACAAAATGTAACGGATGGAACTAATTTGTAGGGTTTGTAGGAGGAGGAAGCTGTGAGATGTGCTCCGAGGCCAAGTGCTCGGGCTCTTCAGCACCCTGGTTTGAACTCCATGTGCTTGGCCCGATTTTTGCTCTTTCGAGCAGTCAGGTGAGACACGTGGCCCTCGGCACGTGTGGTGTTGGGGACAGTGGGGAAAGGAGCTATTATTGCTGCTAGAAGTGGAGACTGTGTGTCTATTTGCTAAATGATTGGATGCCACTTAAATATTTCTTCCTTTGCTTTTTCCAAGCTTTTTCCTAACTCCTGTGATACTGTGACAAGGGAGCAGGGCGCCTCATGGTTCCTCCCAGCTCCTCCTCATGGAGGGACAAGATTAATGTCCGCCTTGTGGGAGAGCAGCAGCCCTGACTTGGGCGCCACAGGAGTGTTTTTCCGGGCTCACTTTGGGCCGCAGGAGCGTTCCCTGCACTCCCTTTGGGACACAGGATCCCATGGGAGCGGTGCCCACACCATGAAGGCCACGTGGCTGCTGGCTGCCTCATGCTAGATGCCTGTCCTCCCCGAGCATCCCAGGTGTGTTTTGCAATGGAGTCTAATGTACAGCAGAAGGTGGTGCAGGGGTGGGACCGTCCATTCAGCGTCGAGGCAGCAGGGCCTGAGACCCGTAAACTCGCCAAATTCCCCTAAATTTAGGTATGGAAGCGCTGGCTGGGGGGG